GGATTAAAGGATTTCACCATTAACACCTCATTACCATTAGTTATAGATTGTGCTGAAAATGATTTTGTGAATTAATATGTAAAACCAGTAGGGTTGTTTTTAAAAAAATATAAATTTTAGTCCATAATACATATACTCTCTTCTCTCTATATAGGCAAAGCATTTAGGTATTATATTTGAAATTAATTATTGCCACAACAGGCATTGTGTCTTCTAGTAAAATAGAAGAGAATAATTTTTAAAATTGGTCTTAGATTACGGTCCTTGAAAATTTTGTTGAGGTCCTTGAAAAGTCCTGGAAAGTCCTTGAATTTCAATCTCATCATAGAGTGGGAACCCTGAAATAGAACCATCAAATGTGATGGTCACATTAATAAAATGTGACAATCACAGTCAAAGATGAGACCTTGACCTTACAGTCAAATATGAGATTGCCACCAAATTTATAATGCCATTCCGCCATTATATTCTTTTGCTTTTTAGTCAGGAAAAAATTTATGTACAAATTATATTAAAAGATTGAATAACATATGGGCTGAAAGGCCTAGTTAATTAGAAAAAAATATATTATCTATGTATTAAAAACAAAGTACCTAATTCATAAAAAAATATTTGAACCCTAAATCAAGTAAAAATTAAGTTTTGTTTAATTTTTGCTGTCACAAAGAGTAACGCTACTACTTCCTGTGAAACTGCATCTACTGCAGTATATTAACAAATAGAAATAATTAAACTAGCTATAACTTCTCTATGTCCATCTAACCTAGACTTACCCTAAATATAAATAATGCTTATATTCGGTATTAAATACTTATAATTATTTTATTATATTTGTAAAATTAACATTAAATTTCTTATAATGATTAGAATTTTGTTGCACTTTTAGTATGAAACTGAAATCAAATGACTATTTATATTATAATACATATATATCGTTTAGTTTTCAGTATTTTTATACGGATTTTGTCTGTAGATTGTATGAAGTCTGTATTATTTTTAATTTCACCCTTTCATTTTTAGTTTAGCAAAGCCACCTAACATACTTGTCTGAATAATATTATTTACCGTAATTAAATATCTTGAATTTTCAAGGTGATCTTTAATGACAGTTATCCTTTTAGAACACTTGAAATAAAGGGAGTAAAAAACTATGCAATTGTATTAATTTTATTTGTTAATCAATGTACCAATTTAGTTTCTTAATTTTAATTTGGTAATTTAATAATTGTGCTCTATTAGTTCACACCTTTTTATTGTATTTATTAATTTCTTTCCAGGATATATGCTCCAAAATGTGCCATGTGTGGAAAAGCTATAACTCCTGTTGAAGTATGCTACACTTTTAAAAATATATATACAGTGTTGTAGTTTGAAAAAAAATCTAGGGAACTTACCTTTTTTATTTACTAAATGTCATGATGGGGTTGATAAATTTTTGTTAGACTTAAAAAAAAAAGCAGTTTTAATTAAAAAATACAGCAGATTGACATTAAATTTGCCTTTTATTTAGATTTATTTATAAATGCTTTTACTAGAATTATTATGTAATTACAATGAGTGCACAATTCTTTTATTAGCACTAGAAAAGCCCTATTGCCTTGAATGTCCAAAGATAAAAACAAAAATGTATTTATGCTTACATTCAATTTTATTTTGTGAACTGTTATTTTGTTTATTATTTTAATTAATAATGTATGTTATGATATTGTCTTTATTCAAATAGAGAAAGATTGGGTTTCTCTCTTTCGTATTACTAGATAAAAATTATTTCTTCTTAAATTGGCTTATTTGCTTACCAGATTATAGAGTTTGTTAACCATAGTCATTAAAAAAGTAATCTTATTTAATATTTTAAGTTTTATCAATTTCTTGAAATTATTTAAAAAGCAAAAACTTAAAAACGTTTTGTTTTTATGAAATTCAGATAAGGGCAATTTATATTAATTTAGCTTTTCAGATAAATCAAAATTTTACTCGCCATAAGCATTGGCTAATAAGCAAGTTTAGTCTTAGTTACATGTGATGTTTGTTATTGAAATCTGTTTAACCAAGCTTTCCAAAGTTAATTTTTTTTTTTAAACTGCTCCTACCAGTATGATTTTTACTGAAAACTGGAATTTAAGCATAATTTTCCACTTTCTGATTGTTTTATGAAAGAATTATGGAAAATTAATGATTTGATTGAAGAATCATAGAAAAATAAGTTAAATTTTTAATAGTTAATTTTTTATAAACCAAAAAAAAAACTGGTAGGGTGACCTGGGGTAATTCCTGATCAAAAAACGCAAACATCTATTTTATCAAAAAACTATTCAAAATAGAATTTTAATATTTACTGGAAGTTTGAGGCTATATGAGATGAGTCCTATGCTACCTTCTTTTGTTTGAAAATCTAATTAGAATTTAAAAGATTTTAAATTTTTAGTGATCAGGAATTACCCCTTCTCTTGATCATTTCTGGGGTAATTCCTGATCATTTCTGGGGTAATTACTGATTACCAGTTTTTATAGTAAATAGGCTGTTTAAAAATAATTATACAATGGTAATTAACAAATAAGACATTAAGATCAAACAAATAAACCAAAAAGATATTTTTAAGCAGCTATTAAAACGTTTTATTTAAAAGCAGGAATAAAGATTAACACTTCAGCTCTGGCAGCAGCTCTCACACTGAAATTTTCATTTTCAATCATTAAAAGAAATTCACTATTTTTGCTTTCTAGAAGCTTAGTATCCTTTTTAAGCTTATAATTTCTCACCATATTTATATTAGGTTAATTTATCAACTTAAAAATTATTCTAACAATGTACACACATAAATTTAAGATAGAAGCAAGGTAAGACAAGCTAGAAATGGTGCATATCAGAACACATTTTTCTTGTATACAGTTAAAAACAAATTTTGTGATTATAGTTAAAATATATTTTATAGTTGCTCCACTTAATAAATATGAACTGTTATTTAAGAAAAGACAATTGACTATTTATTAGCTATGTTTTATACTATTTATAAGAAGAAATGACAATGATCAGGAATTACCCCAGTGATCAATAATTACCCCATCTGTAGGGGGCAACATTTGATATAGTTTCCTATAATCAATTATAATGTTTACAGTAGATGTGAAACAATTAAACAAAAGCTTACACTACTTTTATATCAAAGAAAAAGAAAGTGACTCAAAATATTTATTATTAAGAGAAGGAGGGGGATCTTTGCAGAAATGTGCACATTTTGAAACCCATCTTTGAAATGGAAAATACAGAAAGCAGTTTAAAAGATACTTATTTTGTTAGATTAAACGAAAAATTATTATTGAATAAATGTAGTTATACTTTAGTAAAGTGTACAAGCATTCTTGTCCATGTCTTAAATTTAAAAAAAAAATTTTTTTTAAAAATAAAACTTAGGTGATCATTATTTACCCCAGAAACAGAGTGATCGTGAATTACCCCGGGTCACCCTATGTTGTTCACTGCTGGAAGAGTGTTTATACATTACTATCACATTTATATCTAATCCTCATTTATATCTCGCATCAGTTATGTTATTTTTAGGTCTGAATATACTTTCATATTCAAAAGTTGAAAGGAATGTAGAGAGGATTTAGTTCTGTAGGTTGATTTACAGGATGTAATTTACAGGATGTAATTATAGGATCTTCGGCAAAACAATCCTATGCTTTCCTACGAAAGAAATATATCTTTTAGGAAAGGAAAATTACTCAAGCACAAAGTGTTTCTGAACTGAATTTGACCATGCCATTTCATTCTTTATTTGTTTGCGAAAATCAATAAATAACCAATTTAGCTATGCAGCACACATAAGACTTTTTTTTTCTAGTTTTAGTATGGCTTATATTTATTGGCATATAAATGTAAAATGACTGTTTCTTTCCTAAAATTTCTTTCTTTTTTTAAGGGCACTGATGAAACTGTACGAGTTGTATCCATGGATAAAGATTTCCATGTTGATTGCTATATTTGTGAGGTAATTTCTTTACTTTTTAATTTTAACTATGTTTTTTTTTATTAAATAAGCAACATGGTTTCCTCTTTAGTCTACCATATTTTATAAAATAAAATAAAAAGCAGAAAGCTTGCACTAGCAGACAATATATTATAAGATACATTGTCGAAACCAGTTTTAACTAACTGAAAAATGACATAATAAGCAATCCCAGAGGTGATTGTACTCCATGTGTACCCCAGAATTCTGGTTATTTCGTATCATTATTCCGGGTCCAAAAACTGGCAACTGGGCATGTAATTTTTCCTTTAATATCGCAAAATTCCGCATATCTCAAAACCATTGGTTTGCAGACTTCGGCAAATCAAAAAGCAAGACATTTATGAACATGTGATTTTTTCGCCATTTTGAATCTTTGGAGCTGCATTGGAATCTACTAATGTCGTGATTTTTACTCATGCTATTTTATTATCAATCGTTGATTTTTGTATTTACCCAATTTAAAACTTACACATTACGATTCGTAATCATGCGAATTAAAAATCGTATATCGTAATTCTTATTCATGTAAATTTTTAAAAACAACATCTCAATTAGTATTAACGCATTTTTTAAATACAGCTCCTCGATTCGAATTCACACATTTTTAAAATCTAATATTACGTTACGTAGTGATGCCGTTGCAATATCAAAAATAGATTTTCGTATTTATACGTGATTTAAAAACTACGCATTGTGATTCGTATTCAGATTATTTAAAAATTATGCATCATGATTCGTATTTTCACTGTTTTAAAATCCTATATTGTGATTCATATTCAAGCAATTTTAAAATCCAATATCACATATTCTCTAAAAAAAAGTTTTTTCTTGAAGTAGTTGTTATTAAGATGTCATTAGTAAGCAATTTAATTATAAATACTATTTCAAAAAATTATGTTAAATGTGAAACATGCTCGATAGATAAATTGAAATCTTGATATCGTTTTTTTGCACATAAAATTTTTTCGGGGTTTTTCACTTAATGCATTCCATACATATACCATGTGGGATAGCTTAAGTAAACTTTTGAGGATCAAACCGCTTCCAGGAATCATTCTAATGCTTAATTCAGTTGCCGATCAATCAGAAGGCAGATTTGATTCAAAAGGAGCTATTCTATGATAATTCAAGATGTAATAAAATAACAATAATGCAAAAATAAATGCATTTTTTCATCATTCTGAAAGTATTAAAAAAATGCATAAGTTTCCAGTGCCGCTCGCTTAAGTCTTGATGTATCGGATGACTACAGTACATTACCTATTAAAAACTGCATGGGTGTGACTGAAAAAACATGCAATTTTTCCAAAGATTCAAAAATACAAAGCTTTAGATGTTATTTATAATTCTAAATGTAGACATATAAGTTTAAATTTTAATAAAAGAAATTACTATGATAAAAATTGTGCCTATTTAACTTTTTAGCAAATTTGTAAATATTGTCCATATTAGCCTCCTCTCTCCCTTACTTATTAAATTACAAGTGTTGTTCAATAATAATAATTGAAAGTTACTTACTGTATAAAAGTTTCTCTGTTTAAATTATCATATATTGAAAATTGATGGATGTTAAAGCTACCAATTTTAAAATGTCACCTAGAATATATTTCCGGTTGTATCACTGAATGTAACAAAAATTTCCTTTGATGGTACTGTTGCGAATTTGTGGAAATGTGTATAATTTGTAAATGTTTTTTTGTTATTAAGTTAAATATCTCAGATGGACAGTCTGATTGGAAATTTTGTAAAAAAGTCGCATAATTATGGCATGATTTAAAGAGAAGATAACGCCTTATTTATTAGGGAAGATTTGGTTGGGCAACATTTTTGCCAACTTGATGATAATTTTGGCGACATAGTAATACTATGCGACAGGGTGATTGTTCTGGAAAGTTCAAGTTTCTTGGAGATGTAACTAATATTCACAGAATTATGCAAGAATAGTCAAGAATTCTGTGGAAAGATCCAGGGCTTTGTCGCAAAACCTATATAAATGTTAGTGTGCCTCGTAGAGAAGAGTTGTAATGCATTACTCTGTTTGCATTATTGTTCTGATTTTCAAGTCTTTAGTGAGTTTATTGAGCCATCTAAGATTGTGAAGCCTGTATTTTGTGTGTTGCACTGATATTTGTGATGTAATTGAGTGCTGGAAATTGCTATATTTTGTGGAAGATTCTACTAATAAATTTGTGTAGTCTTAAGGACTGTTTTATTAATTTCCAATCTAAACACTTATTCTTGCTGCAGTATTGTGGCATAACTACCACTATGATTATTTAACATCTCTTCACTAGTATATAAAACATGTTAACTCAACTCACTCTTGAGGTTCCTTTTGATAGTTGGCATGATCGAAAGCTCTTTCCCCACTGTGTATTAGAATATTTAACTATAAATTTAAACTCTCTACTTTGTTTCTGTTGGATATATTTTTTTCCTCTTTCTAGGATTGTGGCTTACAGTTGACTGATGAACCAGACAAACGATGCTATCCTCTTGAGGGCCATCTTTTATGTCGAGATTGTCATTTAAATAGATTAGAAATTCTAGGTAAACCTGCTACTCTCCCAGTGCAGAGATCCTTACAAATTAGTGATTTATAATAAATATCAATATTTGTAGATGTATTACATTTTAAAATGGAATAATAACTTCTTGCTAAGCTTTAGCAAACATTTTGTGAAATTATGTGTTTAATTCTAATGAAGCTTTTATAACTGTTTGTTGTAAAATGTTTTGATTGTACCATTGCTTGCTTGGAATTCTTATAATTTCAATGCAAAATATATTTTATGCATAAAATAAGTTTTTAGTTAACACATGTCTAATAATTTTTATAATGAAATAAAAAATTGCATGTATTTAATTCACACTTAATTATGTTATTTTAATAAAACTGTGTCATTATTTTGTAACATCTTTGAAACTTCATATTGAAATGGTTTTATGATATTTTTAATGCATCCATTTATAGTGAATATATAATGTTTTTTCTAAACTAGCTTTCTAATCAAATTGTTTCCACTTGCAAGTAAATTTAGTTCTACATTTGTTTACTTATGAAGAACTATTTGACTATATACTGAAATATAAATTTAGCAAATTAATAGTTTAATTAATGGTATAATTTGCTTTTTTTTTAAGTTTATATACGTATTCTGTGTGCTTATAAATCACTAATAGCCGGTAATTTTTAAAGTAAAAGCCATATATTTACAAGATTAACATCTGTCAAAAAGAGCCAGTTATTAAAGTTAATGTACTTGTTTTAATTTAAAGGTATTAAAATCTAAAAAATATTGCAATCAATGCACTAATATTAAAAAAATTTCAATTTATATGGAATATGCTAATAAGTTTAGATTGAAAAGTCTATAACAACCTCGTGAAAGTTTCTTAATTTTTTTTGAAAAAGTATCCATTAATATATCAATAGTTTTTGAACTATAACAGTTTTTTGAAATATTAAGGATAAAATTGTTATTTTTATTAAACGCACATTAAATCTTACTACTTTTTAAAAAAAATGTATTGAGTTCTACAGGATTTTAGACTAGATCTTGAAATTTAATAAAATTGTTATTTGATATCCTTTCCATTAACTTTTTTTTGTTGCTAAAAATTCGTTTTTTCATGTCATAATTATAGTGTTTTTTTCAATTGCTATATTTCCTACCACAATCTTTACACTTTTCTGACTTTCCATTGGTCATCATTTGCTCCATAGCTGTAAATCTTTTTTAAAACCACAATCATGATCACCTTAGGATTTTGTTTCATGTTTTTTTTCTTTTTTTTTTTCTCAAATATAATTGCTGTAATGCTTAAGAAAAATATCATTTAACTTAACTTACTTTCTTGCGATATTAAACTTGGCTTAAAAAAAATTCAACAGTGTGTCTTGCCTGAGAATATTTTTGTCACTAAGATGAATTAACCCACTGAGGGTTCTCCATGTAAAAAGTTTTATTTTAACCTGAAGTCTTCTCTGCATAGCTAAACTGGTTTTTCAATCTTATGAAATAGGGAAATAGTGTGTTAGGTAGGAACATTCTCCTAATTTCAACCATTTGCTAAACTACCAGTGGATTAAATAGCTGAAAGTTATGAAAAATAATTGCAATACCTCAAAACTAAAACAAATGTATTTAAAAGTTTTTTGTTGTTAAAAACTTGACTATATTAATTTGTAACAATAAGCTATTCTAATTTTTTATTTCTAAAAGATAGGGAAATTTTATAACTGTTTTTTGCAAACACTCCTGGGTAAGTGCTCCTAAATAAAGACATGTTTCTTTCATGAAAATACTTCTTTTTTAATTCTTTCAGTTATTACTTTAAAGCATTTCATAACTGAGCAACTAAAATTTTAGTTGAATATATTGAACTGCTTATTAAATGGTTTTAGTTTAAAATATACTTGTTTATTAATAATAGGTTTAATTTCTTTATGTAATAATCAATATTTTAATTCCTTCCTTTATATGAATAAAGTTAATTTTCATTAATTGTAGAAAGTAATTGTTTTGTCACTTTCAATTCTAGCTTAACTTTTAAGAATTATTAATGTGTTTGTACTTTTTAAACTCTTTCATTTTCATAAAATTTTCTGAAATTTGACTATTTTTGTAATTTCTACATCTGGTCCTACAATGCATAAAAGATGGTAGCACATCTTAGCACTTCCATTTTCTCTGCATCCATATTTGAATGATATTTCTTACTCTCTCCTTTTATTTTCTTATAGAAAAGCATTGACACAACCCTAAACATCTCAATTTTAGTTTTATTTATGAACTACAACTCAAAAAATCTTGTTTGTCTGACCAATGTTTCTAATAAGAATGCAATTGTAACAACTAGATGGTTAAAGTGTGCTATCCTTATTTGTTCAGATTTTGTATGAAAGTTAACAGTGTAATTTTTGCACTTGATTAGAACAGGGGTTTTGCATATAACTTGCTTCATTGTCAATTACTTAAGGTGCAGTTATCTTCCCAAAATACAGTAAATTCCATAGCTATTATGAAAAAATTAACTTTGTCCTATTAGTACTTTTGGTACATCTCTAAAATACTGAATGTTCCAGATGAAAACTTACTGTTTTAAATATTAAGTCTATATTAAATCTCACAATAATTTATGTTTTTAAATCTGACTAACTTAAAGAGAAAAAAAAACATTTTAACTCAGAGTATCTTTAGAATAAGTTTTAATAATTTTCAATCATTAATTACGACAACCTTTTCTAACTATTATTTTTGACTAATTTGATTTTCTTCATCTGTTATTTTGAACTATATTTCTCTTACTTTAATGTGGGTAGTTCTTTTATATGTTTTATTTTTATTATTTTTTTCATATAATATTTTGATAATTGAATTGTCAAGTTGCAAAACTCAAAAAGTGTCATTCAGACTTTTTTCCCTTCAATCAGGATGATACTGATAAGCATCATCCTGATCCAGTTCTGCAACAAATAATTCGTTGAATATGTGGAAAATTATTGATTTTTAATTTCATTTTATTTTCATATTTTGTAAATGTAGAAAATTTCTGTAGTATCTTAAAATAATATGCTGATAAATGTATTGTAAGATGCTTACAATGTGTTAAAAATTAGTTTTATCTTTGTATTCCTGAAATATTACAATACTGATAGATAATTGTATAGTTGCTTTATAATATTAACTCATTCTTTTACTATTTTAACATTATTTCGAATAGCCAATCGAAATCATTTAATTGTTTTGCAATTAAAATCTTTTTTTGTATCCCAAGATTCTCTTCAGGAATTCTTTTACATTAAAAAAAAATTATTATTTTTAAATCACGTGTGTACTATGCATAATTTTTATGTGTCAACTTCAAACAAACTTTTGGAATTGCAAAGATTCACATTAGAGGAATTGTAAAATTGCACATCTTTTGATGCATAACATTATTTGAAAATATCTATATTATAAAAGTTTTAGGTCATATAAATTACTTAAAAGATACAATTCTTTGCTTACTTTACTTTATTACTTACTCTTTACTCGAACAATTAGTGTTATCCACATGAGGTGAATCTAGAGTCATATCTAAAGTGTGCTTGAAAGTTGCATTTTGTTTAAAAACATTTATTTTTTCTTTTCAGCCATTTAGCAATTGGTCATTGTGTGTGAATTTGGATTTTTCCCTGTTATGTAACTTTTTCTCATTGAATAACATAAGGAAAACCAGTTTAGCTGTTTTTCCTTAGGTTATTCAATCATTCGCAAAATCTGTTGGTTAAAATTTGAAAATTAAAACAAATTTTTTTACATCATTCAATGAGAAAAAGTTACACTTTTAAGAAAACTTCTTTACAAATTTGCTAATGGAGCTGGAAAGTTAAATTATTTATATAAGGAAAAAGCCTGAACAATATCCCGTAATAATTATTTTAAGTCAAAGTTTTATACTTCATTGTAAGTAAAATTTAAATTTCATATTTATTTAACATTATGTATCATTCTAACTGCACGCACTCTTATAAAAGATATGCATGAAGGTATGGCAGCTGAACATTTTGACCTAGTTTCTCATATTGTATATAGTTATGTTTTGTTTTTTTTTTAATTCTGTTAAAGTGTTTGTTCATGACAATGATATTTACCAAGAACATTAACAGACATGTTATGGCAGAAAACTCATTTGTGTAATAACTAATAAGATTACTAATTATGCTGGTCTATTAAAAATCCCAGAACCTTCATTTAATAATATTAATAAAAAAAATTATAGTAAATAATAGCTTTTATTAATAAAAGTAAAGGACTCTACTATAGAACATTCCAAAAGTTGGCTTACATCTACTGGAGTTGTATGTATACTAGATGTTAAATATTAAAATCCACTTTTAACTGTTTAATTCTATGGACAATTTTTTACAATGTTCTTAAGGAAAAACTTTCTGATCTAGAAATTTTAAAATATCAGAAACAAAGATGAATGAAGCACGCTTATTTTAATAACTATTTGGTACAATTGAGAACCAATCCATTACTTTTCTTTAAGCAAATAGAATTGTTCCATGCAATGTATAATTTTGTAATCCTAACCTATTTTGAGATGAGTAATGGAACTATAACTCTTTATCTTAACTCTACATTGAAACTATAGCAAAAAATGACTAATTTTGAAGTTTCTGTTTCAAATTTTTACATCTTTTGCTATAATCATGTTTTATTCTTCTATGATCTTTGTTTTTGAGATTTGAATATTTAATTATTTAAACACTCAATAAATTGTTTGCTCTCTGATAGAAGGAAATATTATAAATTATACATTTTAGATTCTGGTTTAATAAATTCTGTCTGTATTAAAAACAGTCTATTGATTTTGAATTTGTTATTTGGTTCTCAGTTGTAATATGCTGTGTTCCTAATGTTATCTAGTAGGTGCCAAATTACTTAATTGTTCTAATAATACTTCATTATAAATTTTGTTTTATAAATATATTAGTTTAGATAGAAATGGCTCTCTTGCAAATAAGTTATGGTAACCATTTGAAATGTTTATATATAAAAGATACATTCACTTATTTTGTTCAATTATTTATTTTTATTTGATAATTTTAGAATTGAGAAATTAAAAAGTATAATTTTCTACATACCTACTTAGCATGAATATGAATGGTCAGAAAAGTTCTAGCTATTGCTTCTCTATGTTGGATATTTTGTTTAATTTCTAAAGTTTACAAAGGAAATTTTAGAAAATGTTTTAGATTGTTTAACTAGGTAAAGCAAAGGGAAAAATTAAATTTCTTTAGATGGTTGTAGAATAAATATATTGCTAAACATCTGAATTTATTTTTTACTTTAAAAAATGAGCATCATTCATCAAATCTACATTTAATGCATAAATACCGAACTAAATGAATGCAAACTAATATAAAAATTTTGTTCACATTCTACAAAGAAGAATTTTATTCAAAATATCTTATTTTTGGTCAGATATTTAAAACAATGTTATGTATGTAATTTTTTTTTTCCCAAATAAACTTCAAGTTTCATTGTAAATTTTTAACATTTTTCTTCGTTCAATAAATATAATGATTGTCTGAGCCAATGTACAATAAAATACTTTATGAATAAAAAGTATGATGTTAAGTGTTAAAATTGATTTATACAAGTTTATTTTAAAAGGAAAATTTTCCATTGTTTAGTAAGATTTTAAGAAAAGTCTGTAGCTTAGTAACACAATGGATTCTATTATCATTTTTTTAGTTTTAAGTTCTTGTTTTGTTGAGTCTAGTGATTGCTTGACCGATTTTTAATCCAGGTTTACTGTATTTAGTGAAGTTTGGTTTAAGATCAAAAATCCTTTTTGTTAGGTCAAGTTAGTTTGCAAAAATTATTCTATTTCATTCAAAGTTTGTGTTTTTAAATTTGATAAATTGTTTGAACTCATAAGTATTACGATACCATAGCTTTTAAAGTCAGTATAATATAGACAACAGCAAAAATCACTCATTTTTAGTATTTAATTAATATATTATTTACTCCAAATTTGCTAAACTGGAGAATTTTAGTTGTGTATTTAGCTATCCTCATCAACTTATTTTAATAATTATCTATAATTTGTTTATATTAGTGACATTTTGTTTTAGTTTTTAATGTGGTTCCAGTGTTTTATCCTAATAATATTCTTTTGAAAGAAATGTTTTAATTATATATTTTTGTTGCATAAGCTTAAATATTTAGAAAGTTTAAATGTTTGCTAATAGTTCTGATTTTATGTAATCTTCTAATTACTTTATATATACATTGTTTCAGTTACAAAACTTATTTTGTTTTTAGGATTTAAATATTTACATAATGACGTAGGAATTTTTATATTTTTATAGGTTTAATATTTTGTTCTTTTTAATTAATTAGTTATTGTTTGGTTGAAATAAGCTGTGCAAAGTAATGTTAAAAATGTTTATTATTTGTTGTCATTGAAGGTGCCATTTTTGTATATATTTTGTTTACATTATGTTACTTTATTATGTGCTGGTCACATGAATTTTAGCACTGTTTCATTATTAATAGTTTATACATTTTTTAAAGTTTTGAAAAACAGATAGAAATGATTTTTCATTTAGTAAGTATGTTTAAGCTACTGTACTTAACGACTTAAAATAGTGATTTAGTTTCAAAATTTTTACAATTTCTGTTTATACTCTATTTAACATGGATACTTGGTTTTTATTGAATTTGTACTTGATGAAAAATAAAAGCAATTAATTGCGACTTGTGTTTATTTGTGGTTTTTGTTAGATTTGTTTATCTGAAAACATTTTCTTATGTACGCTCTTTTATAGTCCATTTATCGTAAGAAGACCATTGACTAACCAAGCAATGTTCACTTTAATAGAGAGGCATTATTGTGCTGAAGAGTGTAAAGCTTTTTTCTTAGTTAACATAAACATCCTTATATATGTTTTCACATAATCCATGTTTTAACTAATTTATTTGTCTCCTTACTGTAGACTGACAATAAATAATTAATGGTTATCAAAATATTAGGTAAACAACTAAGTGAATGAAGTACGCGGTATGGAGAGAAAGGCTATATGTAAATAAAATTTGAAATTTATCAAGAGGAAAGGACTTAAGTTAATACAAAATGATAAAATTTTAACTTAATTTACATTTGGAAAACTAGTATAAAAATTGTTTACTTTCTTTTACACTTGGAATAAATAAAAAAGAAAGAACTTTTTTCATATTTTAGGTTAAAGAGTGTTTATAAGATATGGAGTAAAACTTTTTAAATTAAGGATTGTACTCTCAAATGGAGTTGCTATAACTGTATTTACGGTCATCATAACATCGATAGTAACCTATTCCTATGCTTTATGATCTGAAGTTTGTAAAAAGAGAGGTTGTTTCTTCTCATCTGCAGTGTAGGAAAAAATATTGCTCTGTGTTCTTTGAATTGATAAAATATTTTGGGAACTGAGAAAAATTCTACTTTAACAATTGAAATGTTCTTTTTTTTTATTGTAGTGCACTTCAATTTCAAAAATGGAGTTGATGATCGCTTGATTTAAATATTTTTCAATACAGCCTCTTAGTGTTAACATAATATATTTCAATATAGTTACCTCTTCCTTTTATTACGGCATTTCCGTGTGATTAAAATCTCCAGGATTCCATTTAGTTTGTGGTACTGCTACTGCTTCCACGTTAAGACGTTTGGATATAGTGCATCATACGGCTTTACGTATATGTAGTGGCGCATTCCGCACCTCTCCAGTAAAGAGTTTATATGTCATTAGTCACCAATCATCTCTCGATTTTCGTCGCATGCAATTGTCTTTAGCGTATTACTATCATGTGAAATCCTGCAAATCTCACCCTCTAAAACACGATGTCCTTCCATCAAGCTTGGAGCGATTGTATGACGCTAAACCTTCATATGTCCGTCCATTTCATGCTCGCGTGCGTTCTCTCATACAAACATTTAACATTTGTGAGGTGCCAACACAATCAATAGATCATCTTCTCATACCACCATGGATCATCTCACCATATCAGTTTTATTCCCTTTTTAAGTTGTACAGTAAATCTAATGTTGCATCCATCATTTATCAACAAATATTCAATTCTCATCGCCACCAATATTTTGAGTATATGCCTGTATATACTGACGGATCAAAATCGACGGGATACGTAGGCTGTGGTGTCATCATCGCTGATGATACTTATAGCTACAAGATCCCAGATATTTGTTCCGTCTTCACTGCGGAAGCTGTTGCCATCCTTTTGGCATTGCGGCTGATTTCTTCACGCTCCGAACGAAAGTATTTTATATACTCCGATAGTAAGAGCGTTTTGAACCAGTTAGAAAATTTTCGCAGTGA